CTGCTGAACACGTGTGTCAGAGAACAATTTATACAAACATTAGCAAAGCAAAGTCCTGTGGAGATGCCAAACCAATGTTTACAATCTTTTGTGGAGCTCAGAAAAGAGCATGGACTTTGAGCTATAGATTTGGTTTCTTTTTCACCAGAGTCATCATTGAAACCTTGGATGGATGAGAAATGGATGAAGTCTTCATGGGAGAGATTATATAAAGAAAAGTGTTAAAGGGTGATAACTCCAAAACCATCTGTGAGAATGGGAAATTCATTGCTGAAGTTTAAATTGCTGAACCTACGACAAACAAAAGCCTATAGAAGCTCATTTAATTGGCCTAGCTTATTTTAAAAAACTAGGGAGTTTGTATTAGAAAGGATTTTTAGGATGGTTGAAAATGTGTATTTGTTTATGTGTGAAGTGTAAATGTAAATATTACTTTGTTAAGAATCTCTTGGTAAGACTTATAATTAATGACACTGGCCTCCCACTTTCTTAATTATTTAAAAGTAGGAAGTTATTACTAAATAGTTTTAGTAACAATAATACCCCCATTTGCATTCCTGGAATAAACTCCTGAAAAAGGTAGCCTTGTAAATTATCTGAGAGAGGGAGAGAGAGACAGAGGCAGAGAGACAGAGAGAGAGAGATGGGGCTATTTTAGTGCCCTATATACATTTAACTTGAGATCTATTTATCTATCACCTATTCACCTATCTATATCTTATCTAATGACCCAAGTTCATTTGTAGACAAATAACCAAAGAAGTAAAATCTTCTAAGGAAAAAACAACTCTTTAAATCCCATGGATGATTATAAAATACTTTCTTAGAGTTATGAATGAGAGCAAAAGAGTGGATTCAATGATGCCACTAAACATGGGAACAATGCTTCATTTGTAACATTTTCTAAATTTAACAGATATTTGACATGTTTTCCAGTTTTGGAGCTGTGTTTTGCTTCTCAAAAGGCCCGGCATTCTGACTGCAGTCTTTCTAAATCCCCACCTCACTAGCTCTCATATCACTAGCTCATGATAATTCTCCTTTCATCTCTTAGTGACAGATCTGAATCACCAGAAATCAGAAAGCATGACTCTGGCAACTAGTTTTAACAGGTCTTGTTCAGTGGCATATACCAAATGTAATTTTTTTGTGTGTGACAGTTTTAATAAAAGTGACGTGAAACACAAGGGATATAGGGTTAGCGATATTGCACCTCAAAAGAGGAGAAAGTTTGGTATGTTACCTCCTGATTAGCAGCAGCTAGTTCTTCTTCCAGTGCAGAGACTCTTTCTAAAGAAACCCTCAGTCGCTCCCTTACCTAGAAGAAAAACCAAAATATGTGCAGTAATGTACATCCCATACATATTAAACTGTGCTGAATCCATTAACATTATCAGAGACAGTCACATATGAAAAAGTATTAAAGTATATATAGCCTTAAGTGCTCAGGAATACTATGACTACATTGTCACCTCATAGCATGACTGTATTAAGGGATTTTCTTGTAAGCAAGTCCTTCTAGTGTTTCGTGACAGAGTTTACAATGGGGTTGAAGATCAACGCCTCTTGTTCTGAATTCTGATTCATAGTAAGTGGAGGCAAAGTTCAAAAGTTTATTATGAATTCATCTGAAAAACAGTCAATGATTAAGCATAAGATATAGGCAAAAAACTTTCTACTTCTTTAAAATAATAACTATGTTTTCCTTTGACATTTAGTACAAAATAATTTGTCTAAAAGCAAAGGATTCTTAGAAGCTGAAAAATGTTGCCCATTGTTCATGAAATTAAGTTTGTATTAGTTAGAGGTCTACATTGTTACTGAGGGATTGGAAAGTATATATCTACTCTGGAATTCCTAAATACTTTTCAGATACCAAAGGTTAAACCATTATATTATATAGAACCAAAGACTGCATATTTAGTTTGAAAGTAAGATTTCCAAATGTTTCATTCACAAATGAAACTCAGAGAAGTGTTTCTTTGATCCTTGCTTTCTTAGAACTTCTAAAATTGTTTTAGTTATTATATGTTCAGATCTATAGATATGCTCCATATTAAATTTGTCAAAAGTAGAAAAGTTCAGAGAAAGAAATTTGGTTAAACTAAAATAAATGACTACAGCAATTTAATTTTCCTTAAAAAAAATCAACAAAGTTTATAGCTTCAATTCAATATGGAATTCATGGTGAGTTTTAGATTATTTATGAATTAACATTGATTTACCATGGGAATATAACAGTGTGCATTTTAATTATAGAAATAAATTATTTAAATGAACATTCATTTTAGTAATTTATTAATGGTATATTTTAATTGATGGTCTTTTTCTTTTTTTAGCAAGATTTAACTGGGGATATAAGTTAAATACACAAAATATCTAAAAACCTAGATACATAGTAATTTTAAAGTTGAAGTTACAAAATTATTTTCTAGTTAGCAAACAAACAAAAAACAAGTGATATCCTATGAATCTAGAATCTAATTAGAAATTTTTAAAAATCTCAATTATTTTAGTAATGTATAATGATAACTGAAATATATTCAGGTGACTGGGTGCACTTAACTCCTGAAATACATCTTGAATAAGAAAGAATTAATGCCTGACTGGAATTTTATATTAATTATACCTAGTTATGTTCAAATTCTCTGAAAATTAGTAATACATATATAAATGGACATTTCATATCAAAGATAATCACAGAGGATCCTTCATGATATTTAAGTAAACCAGATGGGCTGCCAGGTACCAATGCTGTTAGACAAATATCCAATTGTTCATAAAAATGCATAAAACTAATGCTGATTCATAACTGAACAAGAGCTTCTTAGAAGGAAATCTTTAATGATTTGACTTGGGGAATACTTTTTTCATGAGTGCTTGGATAGATGCAAACAAAGTGAACATCCCAAAGGCATGAAAATGAGGAGGATTGCTGATATGTGGAATGCAGATATCAACAAATATCTTAGTAGATGTCCTTGTTATTTAATAGGGATGATTGTAAGGTTTTATGTCCACTTCCTAAAATAGCAGCTATAAAATATGGGTATTCTGATAAAAATCTAAGAATCCTAGTTGATGAGAAAAGCAATATGAAACAGTCTAAATATAAATTAATCTCAACATATGCAACATAATCAGATCACATTTAGACTGCAGTAAAGAGGTTAAGGTACTATATTTAAAGACATACTGATGCATTGGGATGTTCCTAAAAGAGTCATGCAAGCCACATAAGGAGCAGTTGAAACCAGGCTATACTGCGGGTTAAATGTCTTCCTTTCTTTGTTAAACTGAAAATCACAGAAACTGTTCCAAACTGTTTCAAATTTACCACAAGTTAAGCATGTATATTCTTATTATATTGAGACTTCAAGTAGTAAAAATTATCAAGCTTTTCAAACAATATGCAAAATCACCCCTCAATACATTTATAACAGCATTTGCAACTTGAAATTATATTATATACAAAGTAATGAACCTAAAACTCTCTTCACAAGAAAATAAAAACAATTGCTGAATATATTTTGAATTCATGTTATAAATGTAAAAATTGATGTTACAAATATTAATACATTTATGATATGAATGTTTTATTCACATTTATATGAGAATGAAGTATTCTCTCTGTATTTATTTCTTGGGTAAGACTCAAATGAATGAAACATATTTGCTTCCTCTTGCACTAATCTCTGCTAAACTTGGTAAAGGAAAAACAAAGGGAGGATCCAAAGGAGTAATTTCTAGAGTATAAAGGAATCTAACATTTTATCTTGTCTACATAACTGGGACTCCACTGGTAAGAAAAAATAGTATTTCTGACAAGGCTTGTAGCTTTTTGCACTGCTCTGAGCACAGCACCAGCAGAATGCCATAATATCCTTATTTTTCTTGTTGAATTTGGTGTTCTTTTGAAGTTATCTAGACAAGAAAAATCTAGTTTTAATTTTTTCCTAAATATAAGTACACAGTTGATGGTCTTGGCTATATACTTTACTTTTTCTAGTTTTTTGCTATTTAATTACATTCAATTAGTCTATTGTCCACATAGTCTTTAAGATATATTGATTGCTTATTTATGGAGCTATAGTATAACCTCCCAAATACATTTATGTACATCTAGAATTTTTGATTTCTAATTTCAACTGTTACATTTATTTTCTTCATAGTGGTATGAAAAAATAATTAAAGAGAAAAAAATTTTCCCCAAAAAAAGATGTTTCAAGAGAAATGTTATCCCTGAGGATTAAAATAAGTCCCTAAGAATGATGAGTATGTTGCAGGATAAAGAGGGACTTGGATGGAAGAGCATACATTTCAAATTTAAATTAAGGTATGGCAGGGGTTTATTTTGGAATTATCAATCCTGCAACAGAAAGCATCGTGAGGGAATCTTAGACCAGACATTCAAATCCAGTTTGGGCACTGTGATATTAGATCACAGGAATATATGTGGAGTGTACGTAACGTGTTTTGGTTACACTTCCCATGCATACCCAGTATATCTTTTTAAAAAATACTCAGTGATATCTGAGTGATTGAAAAACACATGTACACTGCTCATTTCCTCCAGCCCACAGAATTGGTAAACATGTTGGAGACTTATGTCAAAATCACTGCTGGTCTTAGATAATTGTGTAAATTCTACCCTATAACTCAGTGGATATATAAATGAGGACATCAATAATGAAGACTGCCAGTCATTGTAATTGTCCACAGCTATGCTCAATCTTTTGTATTTTATTTATCTCTTCCTGTGTTCTAAACCTTCTGTGGTAAAGTTGGTAGTTTCTTGTCCTCGATATGATTAATTGCATCTTCTTCTGATATTCCACATATGTTTTAACATAATATCCATAGCACTTAAGATAGAATATTGTAATTACTTGTTCATATGTCTGTCTCCTTACCTCTCCTGATCTACACAAGAAGCTGTGAGCTATTCTTAGGGGAATTGTTTATGAAGGTGCTTAGGCACATATTAACCCCTTAATAACTAAATGAAATGTTAATTTAAATAAGCATGTGAATCAACAGTGTTACCAATATCTTCACTTAGTTTGAAATTTTTGTCAAATGCTGAAATTTATCATTAACAATAACATTCATTAACATTTACTGAGCATTTGCCATATGCTAAGTACTGGCTAGGAGCTTTGCATGTCAGACAATGCTATTAGGTAGGTATTATTATTCTCTTCATTCAAAAGAAGAGAAAACAGACTAAGAGAAATTAAGGTACTTGTCCAAGTCTGTCTAACTCCAAAGCCCAGGATCATAATATTTTTCCTTCAGGCTGTTAGGTATTACTTAGTTGATAATCAGTTCTGTTGCCCTGAACTCACCAATGTCCAGGGCACATGTGGTGAGTTACTAAACCCTATTACAATTCCTAGGGTCACAGTATGAAATACTTCATTTAGTTATGCTAAGGTCACTGAACATCTATATACTAAATTACTTTTAGATACTAAATTGTACTACAACCATTTTCTTCTTAAATGTACTCACGCCCATTAGGTTATTTGTCCTAAATGCTGTTTATTGCCTTCTATTCATTTTTTCATAAAAGCATCCCTCACCTAAGTGATGTGGGAGCACATCTAGGGAACATCTCAAATCACTCATTCTCAAGTCCCTCATTCAAGTCACTCAAAACTGTTAAGTTTTCTCTGAACAGGCCATGTTCTTTTCAAAGCTCTGGGTTAGTTCACATATTGATCATATTGCTTACAGTATGTTTACTTCTCTGCTTAACAAATCCTTACACAATCTAATACCCAGACCAAATGTCACCCCCTCTGTGAAGACATTCTTGACTTTCTCATCACTTCTTCAGGAAAAATTAGTCACAACTTTTCCTGTGACTCCATATCACATCGTCTATATCTCTTCTTACCACTCCCTCTTATTGACATGTGAACTCCAGAACTATGAACTCCTCATTTGTAAAGAAAATGTCTTATCTTTGTGTGCTAAATATATGCCAAGGAGTCTGACATATAATAGATAGTCTATAAATGTAAAGTCTTGCAAATTCTTAATAATGCAGTTTTGTAATAAGAAATGAAATATAATATGAAAGTAGACATTAAATATATTAAATTATTATTTGACATTTGATATTAGTTGATATTATATTCATCAGGGATTTTTATATAATATCCATTTCTGTTTTACTCAAAATTATTCATAAACTAGTTGCCTCTCATACTAAAATTAAAAATAAGATACAATTTCTTCTTAATAATCTAGAAGACAGAATTATAGATATGCTATGCACACACTCCACATAAATCCCCTGCTCTAAGAACATCTGAAAGACTGATGATAAAAATATATATGTATATAAATATTAAATAGAGCAAAAAGTGTCTGTATGCTCAAAACCTATATATAACTGAGTAATAATCCTTAGTTTGGATTTTAATGCTCAGAACTTGTCAGATACTTTACAATGAAGTGCCCCAATTCCCACTGTACAAAATCCTAAAGCCTTATTAATTTAAAAAAATTCACTTTGAAATTTTACAGAATTGAAATGATGTCATAAGCCTTACTAATATCCAAAGAATATTATCATCATATTGGCTTATTAAGGTCCATAGAGCTTATTTGAGTAACAGCTAAGAGAAACTTACAGTTACTTTAAAAAAGACCTAAAGCAGATTTTTCTACTAATACCTTATGCTGTTACCCGCAGAAACTCTTAAAAATGTGTGTTCAGAACTAAGATATTAGAAACCCCCAAAATAAAATTGTATGCTTCTAATATGAATCTCTAAAGGTTAAAGTATTTCCAATTTACACTTCAAGATATGTTTTATTGTCAGTTAATAGTCTCCTATGTTGGCATCTATAGCCACACACTTCAGAGAGGGTAGGGAGGATAGAGACTGTGGGGTGGGGAGAGAATGAGAGAGAGAGAGGGAGAAACAGAAAGCTTAAATGACAATATTAAATTTCAAATGGCCATCTGGACTAGGACTCTCATGTGCCATAATAGAAGTCTTGATAAACCATAGATTCAGATGTATTAAAAAAAGAAAATGGTTATGAATAATATAATGAATGATGAATAATGAATGAATAACGAATAATACCAATATACATGTAATAGTCAGGGTGCGTTTTTTTTTTTAGTGATTTTTCCTGTGGTTCAAACGTGTTCCTCTGAACTGACTGACTTCAGTAGCCAGTAAGAGTCATGGAGGAAGACAAGGAGCTTGATGCTGATGACAAAAGCACAGTTAAGCCTGAACTCTTTTGTCAATACTATACCTTTTTTTCCAGCAGTTTTTTTTAAAAAATTCAGCTTTATTGAAGTATAATTGACATAAAATTGTAACAATCCTTTCACAATACTATACCTTTTCATCCAAGGCCTTGTGGTGCTCAAATAAAGATTTCAGCGCCTTGAGAACCTCAACTTCGCTGGACACTCCCGAGGGGGACTGGGCTTGTCGCTTCACCACCGTCATTCTTAGTGACCTTTCATGTCGTGACACAAGGCACTCCAAATGCTCCAGTAACAGCTATTGGGTTTAACAGAAAATGTAATTATCTTATGGATACAAGTCACTAATACATACAGATGATTTCCATTTTAGTAGATTTCAGATTTATATAGTATCTAATGATAACCTCAGATTACACTACAGATAGCATCAATGAAGCACAAATCTGAGTTCATAAACCAGGGTTCATAAAGTATATTAAAAGTAAATTGCATTTCTATCAAGTAACAATTTACTGAATTTAAAATATAATGTGAATTATATGCATTCTTTTAGAAGATTTAATAATTTCAGTTTAAATTGAGGAGAACTAGAACACACCATAATATGATCCAATAGGGTAATGACTGAAGAACATTGAACAAAGCATGATGATTTTGTTAGAGAATAGAATTGAAAGTCAAAATTAATTTCACTTATATCTGATCATTTAAATTTTTTAAATTGAAGGAAATGAGTATAATCATCATGTTGCTTTAAATGTGATTATAGTTATAATCATAGGTTGTTATAGTAATTATAGTGGTAACACTAATGATTTTATTCACAATTAAATTCTTAGATTACATAATAGAAAAATATATGCAGCCAACTGGAATATAGTAACTGAGATCAGCAATAGTCATTTTGAGAAAAGAGGTTAAAGGACATAATTTTTAAACTGTCTACTCTGGAACCTACATTCATCAGTCAGTGTCTGGTGCCATGATAGAGACTAGGGGAAAGTCCAGTGAACAATGTTTCATTCTGGTTCCAGACTCTATGCTCTAACTTTTCCCAGATAAATTTTGCTTTTAAATGTTCTGTGAATTGGAGTTTCATCTTCATTTTATTTTATGTCAGTTCTGCAACTAAAAGCAAAGATATATGAAAAGAAAATAAAAAACTGTTATCAGTTATTAAAATTTTACTAGTGAAGAATAATATATGACTAGTAAGGAGGAGAGATTTTCAGAAGGCTAGTGAAAAGCATAGGCTAACAAATGATGTGTAGGCAAAATTAGCAGGAGTTACTGAAACAATAAAGGAAAAAGCAGATATAAGATACTGAGGTGGAAAGAAGTAAAGGAAAATTATTTTCTTTCAAGATTTTTCCTAAAGCTTATACTGTAATGAAAATTTTTGTTTTTAACAATGCTACTGTTAATTTCAGTGTCACATATTAGTATCACATTTCTTAGTTCTTAATAAGTTAATTTTGCTATATTCACTGTCACTAATTATGGTTCAATGTGTCAGAAAATTTTGCCTATTAACACAAAAAACCCCACACATATCTGAGATCCTAAAGGTATATAGATCAGTCAGCCAGAGTCATATGTAAGCATCAAAATAATATTAAAAGTTCTTCAATATGAAGATGATACAATTAATATTTTCAAAGAGCTTTTCTTTTATTTACCAATCTCTGATTATATTCATGGTATTCTACTCTCTTGAATTCTACAGATACATGTGTGCATTGGTTAAATCCAAGCTGTTTCACACAGGTTATAGAGATTTGCCTATTTCTCCAACTTTATCTGCTGTTAGTCTTTCTCTGGCAAACTCTGCTTTAACCATGCCAGCCTACTTTCAGTTCTTCAGTCTTCCAAGCCTCTGCACATGCTGTACCCTCTGCCTGAAATACTGTCCTTTGGCTCCTTAGTTGGTCAGCTCTTTCTCACCTTTAAGTCTCAGTTTAAATATCACCCTCTCAATAAAGCATTTGCCCACTACTCTAGGTAAAACATTTGTAGGTCTCTCTCTTCCAAGTCTTCATAACTCTCTATTTCATTCTCTTGCTTCATTTCTTCATATAATGTGTGTAATTTCTTAAAAATAGTTTTACTAAATTTCATTCTATTTCCTCATTGAAATATAAGTTCCATGAGGATAGGCACCATGTCTGTCTTGATCTTTTCTGTATTTGAGTATTGGCTCAGTTCCTACAACTTCCAGAATCTAACCACTTGCCACTATATCCACTTGCCACCTGGGCCCAATACCCATTATCTCCCACAAATTATTATAGTAGCTTCTTAATTGGTCATCCTGCTTTCATCCTTCCATCAGGTTATTCTCAAAACACTATTTAAGTTAAAATGGAAGCCAGGTCATTGATACCTCTGCTCAAATCCTCACGGTCTTCTCATCTGGCTCAAGTAAAAGCCAAAGTTCTCAAAAGTACTACAGGGATCTCAATTCTCTGAACTTATCTCCTATTCTTCTTGCTCACTCCAGTCTAGCTGATTTGGTTTCCTTGTAGCTTTGTTTTGTTTTGTTGTTTTAACATTATCAGACATCCATGCTATTACATCAGGGCCTTTGTGCTTGCTGCTTTTTTCTGCCTAAAACACTCTCTTTCAGACATATGCGTGCCCATCTCATTCCACTGTCTCTTTCATGGTTTTCGTCAAATCTCACCTTTTAACAAGGCTTTCCCTAGTCACCCTCTGCACGAAATATCTCCTTTCCAGTTTGTTTTTCCCCCTTGGCATTTGTCTATATCTAATTCACTATTTACTTTATACACTTATCTTGTTTAAGTCTGTCTCCCAAAAAATAATGTAAGGCCCACGAGGAAATGAAGTGTTTTTATTTACTTTTTTCCTATTTTGCCCATTGCTGTATCTCTCAGTGCCTAGAAGATTGGCATAGTAGATGCTCATAAATTTTTGGTTGAATGAATAAATGAACCTTGATTAAAACAGTAGTTTTTAACAGCTATGGCTATAAGTAACAACTCTTCAGACAAATGGGAATATGGGATATCTGACCCAGACAGATTTGACAAAGTAAAAATTAGATTAACCTCAAAAAAGGGGCGTTGTCTCCCATGGTTCATGAATAACTACTGAAATGACCACCTGAGTTATCCTGAAATGGGGTGTCTCTGACAGTAAGGCTTTGATGGACTGAGTCATATGTACAAAAGACCATTTTGAAGGGCAGGAAGAATATAAGGACAATGAGGTGAGCTGGATGCTTTGAGCTGCATTGAAGAGTTTAAAGAAAGAAAATGACAAGCATAAGGTTTTAAATTTTAGGTCAAAGCTCAGAGAACTCAATAGTTGCTATGGCTGCTCATAACAGCCTCTTATTGAGGTCCCAAGACATAACAGAGAAAAGATAAAGAGCCTGATCTAGGAGAGGTCATTGAATTACAATGTATGATGAATTCAGAGCCTTACCAGGTGTCTTATTTGGAAATGTTGGCACTACTATGAAAATAAAATGGTACCACCAAGAATTAGAAAAAGGAAATTTAGAAAGTTTCAGATGAATCTGATTTACCTTATCCACCAAATTCCAATGGGTCGCCCTGCTTCACTGATAAGCGTCATCTTATTTGTCTTGACAACCATGTATGACTCAATCATTAAGTAGGTGCCTGGCAAAACATAGCCTATGTTCCCCCCTCTTGAATCTGGTTGGGCCTGTGACTGTTTTGATCAACCTGTGCTGTATGGTGACGGTGACAATTTGTGACTTTTGAGTCTACATCCTAAGAGGCAATGCAGTTTCCATCTAGTTCACTGGAGTACTTGTTCTTAGGTCCCAGAGCCACCACACAAAAACTCAATACTCTGAGACCACTGTGCCACAGAGGTCATATGGAGGTTCTCAGATATAAAGTCCCAGTTAAATCTGTCTGTCCTTCAGTCACTCCAGCCCAGGTGCTAGACACAAGAGCAAAGGAGTTATCTCAAAGGTAGATCTTTCAGCCTCCAGATATTTGAGTCACCACCTGAAAATCATATGCTAAAGCTGGTCCATACTATCTTGTGAGAGAGGATAATTTTCAGAAATCTTGTGAGCTGGTAGTTAAGCACAGTTATTGCTGAAGCTTAAATTATGTAAGCTTATGATTTAATAAAATGTTTTTAAAAGATAGTGAACGCTCAAAATATATCACTTCCTAATTATCTTACTATATTATACTATTACTCATGCCCATAGGGTTGTTTACTTCAATGGTATTTGATAGTAGAAATACTATATAATGGTTCACTACTGTGCATCTTTTTCCAACTCTGCATTTAGTGAAAACATGTTGGAAGTTTGAAAACAGCCACCGTGGGAGTATTAACACCACAGAAATTAACAAACAGTATATATCAGTGCTTTTTGCTTTTTCTGATAAAAATAAATCATCTACCAGTCACTAGCCATCAAGTCATCCCAGCTGAGAGCCCAAACCTTATGGAGCAGAGAAGGGCTGTCACCACTGTGTCCTTTATGAATCCCTGACCCATAGAACTGTGTGTATAGTAAAATATTGTTTGTGCCATTAAATTTGGGGGTAGTTTATTATAAAGCAATAGATAATCAGAAAATCTTCCCTAAAGGGACCTGTGACCACGTAGCATGGTAACAGCTAAGGAAAATAGAATACAAAACTATTTTGGGTACTAGCTCTAAGCTAGGACTATATCTTTGGTACCCACTGGTATAAACGCGTTCAATAATCTGGTAGACAAAATGATTCATCCTCTGGATATTGACTTATTTCTTTGGCCACCACAGCATTTGCTCAATGGGCATAAAATAGTGACCATGGTTTCTGGGATAGAAGTTATTCATTGACCTGACAAAATTGGCTTCTCATCATTAAGGTTGATAGGGTTACCACCCCAGCTGAATAGCCAAGTTACTTGCTGTAGCCATCAACCTTGAAGCCCTGACATGGTGCAATATACCTAGAAACAAACTACTCATCTTGAATCAAGCAGATTACATCAATTCCCTTCCATCAGGGAGGCAGCTGTCTTTTGCTACTATAATAAAAACTTTTTCTGGATATGGATTTGCCTTCTCTAATGGCTCTGCCTCAACCAGCAACACCATCTTATTAGATTTTTGCTTAAAATCCTGTTATCATACACAATATTACTTCTGCCCCAAAAAACTCATCTTACAGTGAAAGGGCTAATGCAATTGACTGATGCTCCCAGCCCTGGTTTCACCATGCTATCACATAGTTCAGAAGCAGATGATTCTAAAGAAGGTTAAGTGACCCAAGGAAGAATCTATTT